AAAACAGAAACCTAACATAAGTAAATCGATCAAGGGGATACTTACTGGGGCTCTCGAACATGAAAGTGACGGTGTCGCTTCCATCATCGGCTTTGATGGTGATGATGTCATCATTTCCGGCACATTTGAGCATCTTGGACATGTTACCAAGATTCATCCCCATGGAGATGTTTCTATCGCACCTGTAGTGCTCAAACCCTTCGGCTCTCAGCAAAAGAGACACCAGAGCTACGTGGCTCGAGTCCATGGCCTGGAGCGAGAAACCTGTGCTCGAACAGTCAAAGTTCGCATCGTTCACCAAATCCTTGATCGATTCTAGAACCTTCTTCAGCAGAGAGCCTTGAACTAACCGAAGCTCCAACATCTTCTTTCTTCCGAATCGATCGGATTGGGTTTTAGGGTTCTTGAGAGAAAACTGCAAATGAATTGGGAAATTTGTCGCGGGAATCGATATTAGAAGGCTTGATTTGGTGGCGGCATTTTAGGGTATTTCGTTCCAGCTTCAGGTTTAGTGGCTGGCGACGAGTTATCTATCACCTGTGTGAGTCCGTATCGCTATTTCGGTACACACCACTTAAGCCTTTTTTATGGGTCGGTTAAGGTCGGTTCAGTGCGGTTTTTATTTGGTCTAGATTCATCTTAATTTTTTGGTCTTTACATTTTGGTTCGATTTCGGTTTCGAATTGAATAGGATTAGTTCGGTTTATGTATTGTACCGTCGTCGGTTATCAAAAAGAGGAGATATTTTTGACGACCCACCGGAAAAGTGAAAAACAAAACGAAAACAAATCTGCACTTTGTCTTCTTTGCCCTACTAAAAATCCCGGTCAGCTTCACAGTGTTCTGAAATCGAGAGAAAGGAAGAGAATTGAAGGAATGGCGCATAGAATACTGAGAGATCACGAGGCTGATGGATGGGAACGCTCTGATTTCCCAATCATCTGCGAGTCTTGTCTCGGTGACAATCCTTACGTGCGAATGGTATTCCCGACCAAATCTCATTTTTATACTTTGTTTTTGCTTCTCAGTGCTAGAGCTGTTTATTTAGTGATTTTGAGTACATACATGTCCTAACCTTTGGTTTGAGTTTGCTTATGGATTGATGGATTACTGTGTGTCTCATGTTATGTCCGGTCTCCATTGTGGTTGGTTGTTTGGTATGCAGACAAAGGCAGATTATGATAAGGAATGCAAGATCTGTACACGACCATTCACGGTTTTCAGGTGGCGACCTGGCCGGGATGCTAGATACAAGAAAACCGAAGTTTGTCAGACTTGCTGCAAGCTCAAGAATGTCTGCCAAGTATGTCTCTTGGATCTTGAGTATGGTCTTCCTGTTCAGGTCAGAGACACGGCCCTCAACATTAGCACTCATGACTCTATCCCAAAGAGCGATGTCAACAGGGAGTTTTTTGCTGAAGAGCATGACCGTAAGGTATGAATCATGACTCTATATAACTTAGTTATTATTCTAGTTTTCATTGGTCTTGAGGCTTGGGACTACTTTATTCGACCGTGTTGAAGTGAGTTTGTTTTTTTGTATGCAGACAAGAGCTGGACTAGATTATGAATCTTCTTTTGGGAAGATTCGACCTAATGATACCATTCGTATGCTTCAAAGAACAACGCCATACTACAAAAGGAATAGAGCACATATTTGTAGTTTCTACATTAGGGGAGAGTGTACAAGAGGTGCCGAGTGCCCATACCGCCATGAGATGCCTGAAACAGGAGAGTTATCCCAGCAGAACATAAAAGACCGTTACTATGGGTAAGCTACTGTCTTTCATTTTCTTCTGTTATGTTTTTAGTAATGATAACGTTGAGTTACCCTCCTTAATTTCTTGCTTTGGTATCTTTTGAATGAGAATTATGAAAATTACATAGTTTGCGGGGCTCAATTTGCTAAATCGAGTCTCATATTGGTGATTTAGGAACTGTTTTCTCATCTTCTTCTACACATTTTGCAGTGTGAACGATCCAGTAGCTCTGAAGTTACTTGGAAAGGCTGGTGAGATGGGCACTTTGGAATCTCCAGAGGATCAAAGTATCAAAACGCTTTATGTTGGTGGGCTAAACTCGAGAGTCCTTGAGCAAGACATACGAGATCAATTCTATGCCTATGGAGAAATCGAGTCCATCAGAATCTTGGCCGAGAAAGCATGTGCGTTTGTCACATACACAACCCGAGAAGGAGCAGAGAAGGCTGCAGAAGAGCTCAGCAACAAGCTAGTAGTCAATGGTCAGAGGCTTAAACTCACATGGGGAAGACCTCAAGTTCCCAAAACCGACCCAGATGGCGGCTCGCAGCAACAAGGTGGTGTAGCTCACAGTGGATTGCTACCGCGAGCTGTAGTATCTCAGCAGCAGAATCAACCCCCACCAATGCAGCAGTACTATATGCACCCACCACCACCACAACCTCCTCATCAAGACAGACCTTTTTACCCATCAATGGACCCTCAGAGAATGGGTGCAGTCATTTCATCCCACGATAGCGGTTCAAGCACCAGTGACAACAGAGGAGCTTCTTCTTCCCCTTACCCTATGCCGCCACATGGCCATTATCCACACCAGCCATACCCCCCGCCACCATATGGAGGATATATGCAACCATCTTACCAGCAGTACCCTCCTTACCACCATGGCCCACCACAAGCTACTCATCCTTATCCGCAACAACCAGGTCCCGGTTCAAGGCCTAATCCTCTTCCTCCAAGCTCAGTCTCTGCGCCACCACCTGACGCTGGGTCTGGGGGGCCTTCAGGATCTTTTCAGCTATCTGCTGATGCTGCTGTTACTAGTTCGTCTCAATAGAAACCGTTGTTAGTTAAAATGTACATCAAATTTTCTGGCTATATCTATCTGCCTTCTGAATTCTTGCTTCTGCTATTAAATTAGTTTCCAGGGCATAGACAATTCTTGCTCGACAATATGTTTGTGTTAAATTTAATGAAGTAAGAAAAAGAGAATTGTCACAGTTCTTGTTGACTGTATAATTTTATAACTCATCATCTACCTGCATTGAAGATGATCTAGCAAATCCACAAAGGTTATTGTCATCTTTATAAAACTATCTACAAAGGTTTTAGTTTCCCAACCAGAAAGGAGAAAATGACCTGACAACCATATAACTCTTTTTATCTAAATCAAACCATAATACTGAACACAAGTTTGAGATCATCTCTTACAAGACGAAAAGAAGGATTGAACTCAAAGCTTACTAGCTTGTCTGCCAAACAAAGAATGTCGACCTTCCGCTATAATCTCTCCGGTCTTCTTGTTTCTCACAACAACGATTGTTCCTTTATAACTCCCTATCTCTCCCAATACTCTCGACGTTATCTCCAACTCCTCCTGAAACAATATATCTCCATTTCAAAAAACATATCTCTTTTTCTATAAGTTTTCAGCAAATCATAAGAGTTCAGCAACAAAAACTCCCAAGTAAAGACTGAAAGAAAACATGAATAGACTTACGCCGAGCTTAGCTACGGAAAGGAATGCGATAGACATGTCGACAGAAACATTCATGGGTAAACCTTGTACATGTACAACAGCCCCACCAACCTCATCCACAAGATTTGCAATCGCACCATTTGCTAGATACCCGTCTCTGTTCTGCCATTACCAAACCTTAAGAGAATCAACACCATCTCATCAAAAGACAACAACAACAAATGAAATTGTATGTTTATCCCCAAGGAAGGAGATATCTTCTTGATTCTGCTAAAGTAAGCTTGAAACAAAAATCACACCAATACTGATTCTCATCTTCAGACATCTCACAATGACGCCAAGATCTTTCAATCTATCCCATTAAACCTCGAATTATCTTAATTTCAAAACGATATTTCTATTCCAGTCTAGGTAATTGAGGGAGACGAACCGTCAAACGAAGAGGAACCTTGAAAGTGCAGGAAATGAAACCCGGGTCGACCCGGTTGACTCGGATTCCTCGGAGGCTGAAATCCTCGTAGAAACTTCTTCCTTCCCCTACTAATCCCTCCACTCGTGGTGTCTCCTCATCGTCTTCGCTCAGTTGCAGATACTCCCGAATTCTTTGCTCAATCATCATCATTGATTTTGATTCTTCTTCCATTTTCTCTAGGAACTATTTTCTCTCTCTTTCTATTTCATATTTTGAGGTTTTTAGCTTTGGGCCTATTGCACAAACATCATTGGCTTATCCGTCGTCGTGACTCGGACGGAATACTTACGAGTGGGTTGGAGACTTCAATTTTCTAATTCTTCAAAAACAAAAACAAAACATAAACTATTATCTACTCACCATTTCAAAATATAAGATGTTTTTGGGGAAAATCACATAGTTTAAGAAACTAATATCATTAAATCTATAAATAATAGCAATCCTTAAAAAATAAATAATTTTGGATTACGTCTTTTCGTAAAAAACTGTTTGATGGTTATTTCTAAAAATTGCATATTTTCGATATAACCGTTTTATCAAAAGTTGCGGATTTTCCAAATAACCGTTTTATGGTTAATTTTTTTCAAGAATTAGTGTTTTTTAGTATTACCAGTTTGTCAATAGTTTTGTGACTTTGTCTTTTCAAAATGACCGCTTTATGGTTTTTGTTTTATTGTGAGACTAACTCCAGCAAAAAAATTCGTCTCCCATCATGCATTTGATAAACCTCATAGGCAGATTCACCATCAACGGTGATGTTAGAGAGATTTGACATGTCAAAGATGAAAAGAGGTAGAAAGTCATGGTTGACACTTCAAATTTCTTAGAAAGGACGAGATTTGGTGCAGACGAAGGAGGCTTGGGCTTGGGTCTACGATCGATGGTGTGTTGCTATCAATGGATGTAGCAAGTTTTTTAAGAGTTTCTACGCCTATTCCAAATCTAAATGAGTTGCTATCATCGGTGCTGCTTAACGTTTAACTAGTTTTCATTAGAAAAACATAATTACACTGTAAAAATGGTAAAACTTATCAATGGCCCAAAGAAATTTTTTAAAAAGTTGATATTATCTGTGAGTTTTTGACCAAACAAAAAAAAATTGTGAGAAAAGAAAAACTGTTTTATAGTTACCAATATATCATAAGTTGCGTATTTTCCAAAAAACCGTTTAATAGATTTGTGTTTTCTAACTCTACATATTTGTTTCATTGAACATTTTTTTATTTATAACTACTAATTTAAAATTTTGCCCAAAACTTAATGTTGATAAAAACATCAAAAATTGTTTTTGAATCTTATAATATTTTTATTTCTTTATTTATTCCTAAATATTTTAGAAAATATTTTAAAGGATTGCGTCTCTTCTCATAACTCTTTTATACATTTTTATTTATAACCAATTTTATATATTCTAAAAATGCTTTGAAAATCATGTTTTTCATCATTTTATCTTTTTAATTTTAATTATAGTAATTATATAAAATGTGTTAGATGGTCATTCATTATAACNTTACTTTTTGTTTCTATATATTTTTACATATATTATTTTAACATTTTTAAAAAATTAATATATGATATTTTTTCCTGTGATTTCACGGGGTCTGAGTCCTAATTTTGGCCATTTTTTTTAAGTGATATACTTTTACATCTACGTATATGCTCAAATTCTAATCAAATCCCAATAATTCATGAGCTTTGCATTCTAATAACCAACTGTTCTACGGTAGAACTTCTACCCATCCATTAAATAATATAATATGGATGGTGTAATACAAGAACAAGAAACCTCCTTAAAAAAAACACAAGAGTATTGCACCGTCCAGCTAAAAAAAAAAAAATCTATGTAATTTTGGTGTCAGAACAAGAATCAAGAAGTCAAGA